TCTGCATGCGCGGAACTGGCACAAGTGGATCGAGATGGTCATAGATCTGGTCCACGAATAAGATGGTCCGGCATAGAACTGGTCGTTTCAATTAAAGAATCTTAATAAAAATCCTTCTCTTTAGACCTTCGACAGTTCTATGCCGGACCTTCTTCTTGAGGGACCAGTTCTATGACCAGTTGTATGTTGCTTTCTATCCAGTTGTACCAGTTCCGCGAAAGCAGAGGCCTGCGGCGGGGGGGGCAGCGCGCCTTCTTTACCTGCACGCCCATGTTACCTGCACACCCATGCTACCTGCACACCCACATGTACATCCAGATCAGCGAATTAACGAAACTCTTCTTACCCAGACGGCGCCCAGACAAAAAGTGTCCACACCGACGGCGTGAAGACAATCAGGCATGATAGCAACGACACTAGCAATATACATGTTGCTCGCCCACCTTCACTCCCAAACCCAAAATTGAAATGTTGATAGTTTGTCCCCCTCGCGTTGCCTCGCAACCAATCCCATCAACTTTGGTAAGGGGGGGGCGGGGGCGATGGATATTTGTTCGACGCAGTTCGATGTCGTATCGTATTGGCGCGATGGGTGTGGACACTTTTTCAATAACCGTGTTTGAATAGCCAGCTCATGTAGTTGTGATGTTTGAGCGCTATTTAAATTGAGAGCATTTCGCGTGAGGCCTCGAGGAGGGGAAGATTGGGGAGCAGGTCTGAAGAGCGCAGGAGCTTCGGGATGATAGCGTCGGTCTCAGGAGAGAAGGGCGGAGGAGTGGAGTGGAGTCGAATGGAGTGGAGTGGAGTGAGGGGTATCTGGCAGGAGTGGGAAAGGGGCGCCAGGGCTCATGATGACGTGAGTTCAGAAGACAAGCTCCCTAAACTGACATCGCTGGTGGCGATGGTGTTGTTGGTGTTGATGCTGGTGATGAAAGTGGTGACGATTGTGTTGGTGTGCGGAAGCCGTTCATGGTGGTGGTGATGCTGATGTTGCTGATGATGATGATGATGATGATGATGATGATGATGGGCCGGTCTTAGTTCCGTGGTGGCGTTGATGTGGATGTACATGTGGGTGTGCAGGTAACATGGGTGTGCAAGTAACAGGGCGCTGACCCCCCCGCCGCAGGCCTCTGCGTGCGCGGACCTGGTACAACTGAATAGAATTGGTCATAGAACTGATCCAAAGAAAATATGGCCCGGCATGGAACTGCTCGCTTCAACTACATAATTTTTGGTATTTAAATTATTTCTTTTAGAGTTTCGACCTGTTCTATGCTGAACCTTATTATTAATGGACCAGTCCTATGACCAGTTCTATGACCGCTTCTATCCAGTTGTGCCAGTTCCGAGCAAAAAGAGGCCTGCAGCGGGGGGGGCAGCGCCCTGTTACCTGCGCGGCCATATTACCCACAAACCCACATGTACATCCGCATCAACCACACCACGAAACGCTTTTTACCCAGACGTGCTTCAAACACGGGTTCATAAAGTTATGATATTTGAGCGCTACTTAAATAGAGAGCGTTTCACGTGAGGCCCCGAGGAGGGGAAGACTGGGGAGGAGGTCTGAAGAGCGCAGGAGCTTCGGGATGATAGCGTCGGTCTCAGCAGAGAAGGGCGGAGGAGTGGAGTGGAGTCGACTGGGTTGGAGTGGAGTGAGGGGTATCTGGCAGGAGTGGGAAGGGGCGCCAGGGGTCAGGATGACGTGAGCTCACAAGACAAATGCCCTAACATGCCAACGATGGTGGCGATGGTGTTGTTGGTGTTGATGCTGGTGTTGAAGGTGTCGGCGATGGTGTTGGTGTTCGGAAACCGTTCATGCTGATGGTGGTGGTGGTGATGATCATGATGATGATGAACCGGTGTTTGAAACACGTCTGGGTAAGAAGCATTTCGTGGTTTCGTTGATGTGGATGTACATGGGGCTGTGCAGGTAACATGGGCGTGCAAGTAACAGTGCGTTCCCCCCCCCCCGCCGCAGGCCTCTGCATGCTCGGAACTGGCACAAGTGGATCGAGATGGTCATAGATCTGGTCCACGAATAATATGGTCTGGCATAGAACTGGTCGTTTCAATTGAAGAACCTTAGATATAATAAAAACTCATTCTCTTTAGATTTTCGACAGTTCTATGCCAGACCTTCTTCTTAAGGGACCAGTTCTATGACCAGTTGTATGTTGCTTTCTATCCAGTTGTGCCAGTTCTGCGAAAGCAGAGGCCTGCGGCGGGGGGGGCAGCGCCCTTCTTTACCTGCACGCCCATGTTACCTGCACACCCATGCTACCTGCACACCCACATGTACATCCAGATCAGCGAATTAACGAAACTCTTCTTACCCACACCGACGGCGTGAAGACAATTTGGCACGATGGCAACGACACTAGCAATATACATGTGGTTCGCCCCCTTCACCCCCAAAACCCAAAATTGAAATATTCGTATTTTGTCCCCCGCGCGTTGCCTCGCACCCAATCCCAGCAACTTTGGGAAGGGGGGGCGGGGACGATGGATATTTGCACGACGCAGTTCGATGTCGTATCGTATTGGCGCGATGGGTGTGGACACTTTTTCAATAACCGTGTTTGAATAGCCGGCTCATATAGTTATCATGTTTGAGCTCTTTTTGAATTGAGAGAGCATTTCGCGTGAGGCCCCGAGGAGGGGAAGACTGGGGAGGAGGTCTGAAGAGCGCAGGAGCTTCGGGATGATAGCGTCGGTCTCAGCAGAGAAGGGCGGAGGAGTGGAGTGGAGTCGAATCGAGTGGAGTGGAGTTAGGGGTATCTGGCAGGAGCGGAAGAGGGGCGCCAGGGGTCAGGATGACGTGAGCTCAGAAGACAAGCTTCCTAAACTGACATCGCTGGTGGCGATGGTGTTGTTGGTGTTGATGCTCGTGATGAAAGTGTTGCTGATGGTGGTGGTGTGCCGAAACCGTTCATGGTGGTGGTGATGATGATGAATCTGATGATGATAATGGACCGGTCTTATTTCCGTGGTGGCGTTGATGTGGATGTACATGTGGGTGTGCAGGTAGCATGGGTGTGCAAGTAACAGGGCGCTGCCCCCCCCGCCGCAGGCCTCTGCATGCGCGGAACTGGTACAACTGTCATAGAATTGGTCCAATAAATATTTGGTCCGGCATAGAACTGGTCGTTTCAACTACAGAATTTTTGGTATTTACTTTCTCTGTCTGTAGTTTCTCGACCAGTTCTATGCTGGACCTTATCATTAATTGACCAGTCCTATGACCAGTTCTATGACCGTTTCTATCCAGTTGTGCCAGTTCCGAGCAAACAGAGGCATGCAGCGGGGGGGGGCAGCGCCCTGTTACCTGCGTACCCATGTTACCCACACACCCAGATGTACATCCACATCAACGACAGACACCACGAAACGCTTTTTACCCAGACGTGCTTCAAACACGGGTTCATAAAGTTATGATATTTGAGCGCTACTAAAATTGAGGGCGTTTCACGTGAGGCCCCGAGGAGGGGAAGACTGGGGAGGAGGTCTGAAGAGCGCAGGAGCTTCGGGATGATAGCGTCGGTCCCAGCAGAGAAGGGCGGAGGAGTGGAGTGGAGTCGACTGGAGTGGAGTGGAGTGAGAGGTGAGTGGGAAGGGGTGCCAGGGGTCAGGATTAAGTCAGCTCGCAGTACACATTCCTTAACATGACAACGATGGTGGCGATGGTGTTGGTGGTGTTGATGCTGGTGTTGAAAGACTTGGCGATGGTGTTGGTGTTCGGAAACCGTTCATGCTGATGGTGGTGGTGCTGATGATGATGAACCTGTGTTTGAAACACGTCTGGGTAAGAAGCGTTTCGTGGTTTCGTTGACGTGGGTGTACATGGGGGTGTGCAGATAACATGGGCGTGCAAGTAGCAGGGCGCTCCCCCCCCGCCGCAGGCCTCTGCATGCGCGGAACTGGTACAAGTGGATCGAGATGGTCATAGATCTGGTCCACGAATAATATGCTCCGGCATGGAACTGGTCGTTCTAATTAAAGAACCGTGAATACAACCATTCTTTCTTTTGAATTTCGGCAGTTCTAAGCCGGACCTTATTCTTAATGGGCCAGTTCTATGACCAGTTTTATGACGTTTTCTATCCAGTTGTACCAGTTCCGCGAAAGCAGAGGCCTGCGGCGGGGGGGGCAGCGCGCCCTTCTTTACCTGCACGCCCATGTTACCTGCACACCCATGTTACCTGCACACCCATTTTACCTGCACACCCACATGCACATCCACATCAGCGACGTCGCGAAACTCTTCTTACCCAGACGGCGCCCGGACAAAAAGTGTCCACACCGACGGCGTGAAGACAATCAGGCATGATGGCAACGATTCTTGCAAAATACATGTGGCTCGCCCCCCTTCACCCCCAAACCCAAAATTGAAATGTTTACATTGTGTCCCCCGCGCGTTGCCTCGCACCCAATCCCATCAACTTTGGGAAGGGGGGGCGGGGGCGATGGATATTTGCACGACGCAGTTCGATGTCGTATCGTATTGGCGCGATGGGTGTGGACACTTTTTGTCCACCCACCGTCGCTCCCCGCACGCCCCGCCCTGGCCTGCGCCAACAGGCGGGCGTGTCGAGAGGGCGGGGAAGGGGAGGTGGGCGAGTGGGGGAGCGGAGCGGGCGCGGCTGCTGACCTGAGGAGGAGAACCGTAAAGGTCCGCCTCGTTCCTGTTTTTTCCCCCAGTTCTAATGAAAGGTCGCTGCGTCGCGGGCGCGATGATAACCGCTGGGCCGCTGGTGCCGTTGCTGCCCCCCCTCCCACGCGTTTCGCGACTCCCTCTTTCCCTGCCCCGCTCCTCGCTGGCTCTCCCGAGGCCTCGGCGAGGAGGGAGGCAGGACAAGGGCTGGTAAGGCCTTCGGGTTGCCCACAGCCCCCCGAGGGCCCCCCGCATTCCCGCCGGGTCTACCTCGAGGGGGCTGCCTGTGCGCGACCCCGAGCCCTGCCGAAGCGCGATGAGGGGCCTCCCCTCCCTGACTGAGGAGCTACGTGGTCAGCTTCCACGGTGCTTACTGCCTGCTCGAGGCGGTTCTGACGGGGTCCACTCCCGCCTTCCTAGTGTTTCGACGCTGTGTGTGTGTGTGTGCTTTCTATCTGCCTCTCTCTCGCTTCCTTTCTCTCGCGCTCTCTCTCTCTCTCTCTCTGTCTCCCTTTTCTATGACATTCCCTCTCTATTGTCTTCTTCTCTTGCTGCCCAACCCTCTCTCTCTCTTCCTCCTGTTCCTCCCAACCTATCCCACTCCTGAATTGCTTCTCCATCCCTCTTCCCTCCTCATGCCCTCCTCCTTCTTCCCTCCCTCCTCCCACAACGCTTCTTACCGATTTCTCCTCTTCGTCCTACCCTTCTTACCGGTTTCTCTTCCTTCTCTTCCACCTCATTTCCCTGAATTCATCCTCTCACCTTCCTGCTCTCCCCTCGTCCCCCCTCCGCCTCCTGATTTCCCCTCTGCCACCTCCGACTCCTCTTCTTGCCTTCTCCTCGTCCACCTTTTCATCCTCATCCTGCTCCTCCTCCTGGGGACACACTGGAGCATTTTGGACACCACCTCCCCCCTCCTCTCTCCTCCACCCTTCCCCCATCAGTAACTCCTCACACCCCCAGACGTGTCGCTAGGGCGGGCCATGCGTTTCGCCTGATACCTCATTAATCAAGAGCCTGAAGCTACAAGTCTTCAACAGTTTCACGGATGCACAGACTGTGGTATTGAACATGAGATTCTCGCTTTAGCGCGCGCACAGTAGTTTCAATCCAGCTTTTTGCTTCGACGCCCACGCAAATCTCGCCTTCCGGATGCACTCCGACCTGCCAGGCTTTTTTCGTGTTGTTCCGGGGCAGTTTTCAGCGAGATATTCCCTGACACCAGCAAGTTCCCGTCCAGTTGGTGGTGCGTAAAAAAGTGTGCAGCAGTTTCAAGGGCGGGAGGGGGGCGTTTTCAAAATGTGCTCTCACGCCGCGCACAGTCGGTCGACAAGCTTGGAATAGCTTCACGGAGTGAGGGGGGGGGGTTCAACATGTGGCTCTCGCCTCAGCGCCGCGCACATTCACCTTATATATTAGCATTCGCTTCAAGGATGGATGGGACGGTTATTTTTTCAACATGTGGCGCTCGCCTAAGCGCCGCGCGCACTCGACTTAGAAGTTTGCAAACGTTTCACATATGGAGCTATCGTTCAACACTGAGCTATCGTTCGAGCACCGCGCAGTCGCCATACTATGTTGCAATCGCTTCACGTACGGAGGGTGTGTTCTTTTCAAAGTGGGACTCTCGCCTTAGCGCCGCGAACAGTCCTTTCAACATCTGCAGCATTTTCGGGGATTGAGCAGAAGCCGTTTTCAAACTCGAGCTCTCGCTGCTTCAGCGCCGCGCGCATTCTTTTCTCTCAAGATGGAGTTACCGCGTGAGACGTCGTCAATGCTAGACAGCCCGAAACGTTCACGCATGCAGCGGTGCACGGATCCACGGCGATTCGTTTTTCGAATTGGAGTTGTCATTTGAGATTTCTGTAGCGTTCGTGACCACAGTTGTAACTTAGTGACACAGTTACACGGATCGGACACCTCGTTGATCCGTCTGATTTTGTTCGTTGTCCTGATTATGCGCCAAGAATCTGCATGGCGATTATTTTTCAAAGCGTGACCCTCGCCACAATAGTAGGCCCGGCCCAACTGTCCTGGTCTTTCAAGGGGGCGTTTCTTGGAGGGAGAAAAGGACAACCTGTGGAAGGGAAATGGGGGCGGCAGGGTGTACTCTGCAGCATCGCAGATGAATCCTTGGTTCGCTCTCCCCTCATCATCCTCCCTCCTCCCTCTGCCTGGCCCAGGGCCACCACGAGGGTGCGAAAACGGTCGCGCTTCGCGGTCTCGGCGAAGGCACGAGTCCCTCATCCTGTTCCGGGGGGCGGCGAGAAAGCGTGAAGAAAGATGCCCTGGCTTGCCTTGCCCCCCCCCCCGCTCCTTCCTCCGCTCGAGGCCTTCCTGGCGGCTCCGCTGCACATGGACCTCTGCCTCGCTCTTGCCCGCCACCGCGCGGCGACCGCGGCCCCCGCCTCAGCCGCGGCCGCCGCCCAGAGCCTGGCCGCGCAGAGCCTGGCCGCGGTCCAGGCCCCGCTGGGCGCGGGGCCCGGCGACGCTGCCCGCGGGGCGCAGCTGCTGCGCCAGAAGCACGTGGTCGCGGCGTTGAAGGCCCTGGGCCAGGCGCTCGGAGGAGGTGGGCGGCACAGGAGGGAGGATCCTCCTCCTTCTCCTCCTCCTCCTCCTCCTCCTTCTCCTCCTCCTCCTCCTTCTCCCTCTCCCTCCTCTTTCCCCTCCTCTTTCCCTCCTCTCTCTCCCTCTCCCTCCTCTTTCCCCTCCTCTTTCCCCTCCTCTTTCCCCTCCTCTTTCTCCCTCTCCCTCCTATTTCCCCTCCTCTTTCCCCTCCTCTTTCCCCTCCTCCCCTGACCTCGGGGGTGGGTGAGGCCGAAGGCGGGATGCGAGAGGAGGGATGGAGGAGTACGATGGGAGGCGGTCAGATGAGGAAAAGGTTCGTGTCGTGTCGACCAGTCGGACAGCGTTGAACGCCGCCAGCGACCCAGAATCGGTCGATGTTGAACGATCGGAAGTTTCGGAAACGGCCGATCGTTCAAGGTGGAACTATCCCCACGGTGTCAGGAACCACCGCCGAAGTTGGCACGACACGAACTTGCCGTACATTTGCTTCGCGTTTTGCCTTTCTGGGCCTCCTGGGAGACCCTCGTCGCCACGGCTGGCTTCGCCGCGTCGAAATTCTGGCCAGAACGCACCCCTGAAGAGGTCTGGGGATCAGGGGCAGCGGTGGGGGGATAGGCATGGGGGGGATGCATCGACCCGAAATCGTCCACTCATCGCCGAGAGATGCCCGATAGCACCACCCCCCCCAGGAACGTTGGGATTTGATATCGGAGGCCTATCGCCGATCTGTTGGCGATGTATCGCCAATTCCAGACCGATGTTGCCCCCCTCTATGCCGCCCCCCCCTTTCGCTGCCCCTCAGAAGCGCGTCCCGGGAGTGGCGGTATCGCTACTCATTTTGGCTTCCCCAGGCGCTATCCAAGAGGCGCTGCCCGCGCTCGGCTGCCACCCATCTGGCGGGGCGGGGAGGTCGCAGATGCTGGGGGGGATACCGAGGGCGCCGCCGCCAGCCGAGGGATCGGGGCGCGCCCCCCTTCGGCGCTTCCCGCCCGTGGAGGTGACCAGAGTGGCGTGCCCACGCGGAGGTGGGGCCACGGTGGGAGGAGGCCCTCGGGGGAGGGGAGGGCGGCTCATGGCGAAGAGGAGGAATCGGCACGAGCATCAACGCTCGGAGGTCCGTGCAGATGTCTTGGGTCGGCGCTGGGCCCGCGCCAATTGAGGGGGGTTCAGCACCGATCCAAGAAATCTGCGTGGACCTCCTGAAGCCATGCTTGTAATGAGCTTTCTTTTCTAGGGATGCTTGGGTGGGAGGGCGGTTTCACGCGCGCACGGCAAACCGCAGGCGCGGTGGCGGATTATGTTTCACGGACCCCCAGTTGTGCCGGGTCCTGGAAGAGCTGAGAGGCGGCGCCGCCGGAGGTCAAGCGCGCCTGGCCGTCCCGCTCTTCTCGGACGGCGGGGTTCTCAATGCGAGATCTGTGCAGGCCCTGGCGGGAGGAGGAGGAGGAGGAGGAGGATCGAGGAAAACGAGGAAGATAAGGAGGGTCGGACGCGTACCACCTAATACCGTCGTCGGGGTTGGCAAGAGCCTGAGCGCACGTGTAGCGCGCGTGGTTCTACTGCAGATGTGTGTATATATATATACACATGTATATATATATATATATATATATATATATATATATATAGACAGAGATAGCGAGAGAAAAAGAAACATATACATATGTACATATATAGAGAGATATGTCTTGAGCTACGGGGCCAGCCCAAATGTTGCCGGAGGGGGATCTGGATCTTCTGCTCCTCGGACCAGCAGCCACTGCGCTGGACTATGGGAGACGAGCGTGCGCTCCGATCTCTGGTTGCCCTGGATTCTTGCGACGACGGATGGATTAAGTATCCCCCTGGGTCTGCGAAGATCTGTGGCCCTATTGCATCCTTAACTGGTTTCGGGGATGGGTCGCATGTTACGCAGTTGGGCGGATCACAGTGTGCCGAGCCGGTGGTGGTGACGGGAGAGTGTTCTGCCTCTCTTGATGCCCTTTTCTCCCTTTGTTCTTTTTCCAGATCTGTGAGTGAGCTGCGAATATCCTTGCGCGCATCCGAACCAAACCGTGGAAGTACGAGGAGGAAGAGGAGGGGGACGACGAAGTTAAGGAGCGCCTGGGAATTGGGGGGTCCGGTGGGCCCTCGGGGCACTCCATTTCGTGCTGAAAGCACGTGGCGGATAAGGAAGAGGGGAGGAGGAGGAGGAGGAGGAGGAGGAGGAGGAGGAGGAGGAGGACGACGAAGATCAGGGCTGGATGGCTGCAGGAGGAAGTCCCACTGCCAGGCCGTCGCCCTCGCGTGGGCGGCGCTGCTCGACGCCGCCGCCGTCCCAGAGCTCCAGCCCCTGTTGGCTGGGATCTCCAGGCATCGGTGGCGCCCAAGAGGGGTGGCGAGGACAGGGGGGAGGGGATTCCTTGGCATTCCTGCAGATTCCTGGGATTCCTGCGTATTTCCATATGCTCCCAGGGATTCCTCAAGGTGCGTGCTGATTCCTGGGGCTCCTGGGGATTATTGAGAGCTCCTAGGCATTCCTATGGATTTCCAGGGGGAGGACATCCTTGCCGGGGTGATCTAGGTCTCCTGGCCCCCTCTTCTTTCCTACCCCTGTCATGTCCTGTCCTCTCAGCGCTGCGTCCTGTCCTGTTCGTCCTGCTCCTCGGCGTTCGATGCGTTCCCTGGCCCTCCCCCTCGTCCGCGCACATAACTCGGGCGATGATGCGCTGACCCCCCTTCATCCTCCTCCTATCTCGTCAGACCGACCTTTGGTTATCCTGTTGCGTGGTGTTTGTGAAAATGTGTACGCGAGTCGACGCAAGCAAAAAAGGAAACCTTGCGGGCGCCGCGGGCCATGTGGGAAAAGGAGCCAAGGAAAAGAGCAGACAATTGATTGGGCGCCCGCCAGGTCCGTGAATGAGTGCAGCTCGGGTACCTTAGTATCCTCACCACCGCCACCCAACTCCAGTAAGTTAAACCCGACCCTTGATTATGAGTAACGAGAAGGTTGTCGTAAACAAGGCTGGCAGGTAGTTGATCCGCATCGTTCTGGCAATGTGTAAACGCAAACGATGATGACGCATGGGAGGTCGAGGCAATGACTAGTACTGCTGAAGTTTACTGGGCTGTGTGTGGTAAGTAGTCCACAGTGGGAATGACAGGTCATTCCCCTACCGGCGTGCCAACATGGCAACTCATTGTGGCCACCATATTGTCAGTTGAGAGAAAAATTCATAGTCAGGTCAGCCAAGTACGACAGTCTTCCTCCACCACACCGTCAACCATCCAAGTAACCCACCCCGACGTTTTTGTTTCAAGGTTTGCCTGTGAGGCTGGTTTGTTTTGAGTTTCAGCGGCAGTGCAAAGAAGCCTGATGATACAGGCTGTATCATAGCAGTTCTTGCGAAGCTGCTCATGCTGTAACAGAATTTCCGCAGTCACGCAAGCTGTCTTGCAGCGCCAAATGAGATACTAACGTGTGGCAGTTCTAGGGTTGCCGCCCAGGGTTTTTGGGTCTACTCCGAACCGCATCGGTACTGGGACGCCTCCTCCTCCACCGTGAAGCCATGTATCCACCACCTCCGCACTCACATAAACTATCTGGCAGCGCAGAGAAGACGCTTAAGCGTGGCAGTTTTAGGGTTGCCGCCCAGGGTGTTGGGGGTTTACCCCTGACCATGTCGGTACCGGGACCCTCGTGCTTTTCGTAAGATTCTTATCTAGTTTAGCACGGACCCAATAGTCAGGCAACACAGCCTTGTGATAGGTGTGGCAGGCTGGCCTTTTTTAAGGCTGGGCCATGGGGTAAAGGACCCCTGTCTGTGTCTGGGTGATGCCAAGACGTCATGCGTGGGCAGACTGCTCACGTATAGCCTTTGTCAGCAACAAAAAATGGGAAGTTTGCTGTCCGGACTGCTGCGAAATAGTTAAATCGAATTGCCAAGGTGCTGCTAGTACTCTTGGGCTGGGCGAATACAGCCTCCGATGTGTACCCATGTTTCCCTGTGGGATTTGAAAAAGTAGCGCATTGTCGCCAAAGTGCTGCTGCCTAGCTGTGGTCCGAGGCTGCATGTGCATCATGTGGCGTAGCGTCGCCAAACAATAGTAGACCGAGACGAGTGCATGGTGCGCCTAGGGCGTCCATCAAAGTCCCCCTTGTGGGTGTCTGGCAGTAAGTCGATACGGCAGTGCACTTGGCTTGAAACATTGCTGTGCGATCCTGGGCCTGCGACCCAGGGTTTATAAGAATAGCCTCGAACCTGCAATTAGGGGGGCGCCACCGTGAGCGCCGAAGCCTCGAAGGAAAAAGGAGGGTGGGGCGTCAGATCGGTGACGTGGGGAGACAGGGCCACGCATGAAAAACATGTGCAATCCTGGGGCTGCGACCCACGGTTTTGCAGGTAACCCCAAACCTGCAAGAGCGCCTCCACCCCGCATCCACCTACCACCGCAACCTCCCAGAATGGAATGATGGTAGCACCGTGGGGCCTATAGCACTGGTTAAAGCAGCCTCTATCATTGACAGTATGGGATAAGGGAACATTGTTGTACAGGCTGCTTCCAGTCGCAAGTACGTATGCCGATGCCTGGGCATATGTCTGCAGGTGGGAGGGGGCGCGCCGTTGAATACTAAGCCAATGCGGCCAACGAGAACATATGATAGCGGCAGCACGCTGTGCAAGAGGTCGGTTGTGGGTGTCTAGCGGTATGCGAGTGCGGTCGTACATTGGGCCTGCAGCGTCACTGCGCAATCTTAGGGCTGCGCGGCCCAGGGCTTTGCAGGGCAACCCCAGACTTGCGAGTGAGAGAGAGCCACCAATCGCGTCGAACGGAGGAGGGTGCGCCGCAGGACACCGATGTGAGCAGGTAGAGGTTATGAGCGAAAAAGAATGCGCAATCTTAGGGCTGCGACCCAGGATTTTGCAGGGGCACCCCAAACCTGCAAGAGATGGAATACCACCATCGCGCCGAAGAGCCGCGAGGGCAAAGGAGGAAAGGTGGATTGCAGGTCAGTGATGTGTCTTGACGGAATGACTGCTGGCGTGCTTGTATTCACCATGTCAGGTGAGGTCCATTTGCGGTAATTGGACGGGGGCAGGTACTGGTCGTGAACGTCGCGGTAGATTATAGTATTGCCCAGAGCTGGTTGTGGTCGGTCGACATGTCGTTTGCGTTGGCTGACCCGCGTTGGTGACCGTCGGCTTGGGCTTGGGAGTGGCCTTGTATAGCGTCGCCGTGTACTTGGGCGGCGGCTCCCTGAATGGCGCTCCAGGCGCGCGTTCGCGCAGGCTGTCGAGGTAGCTCTCGTGGCGGGTCTGATACGCGCGAAGCCTAGCGATGTGGTCCTGGAGCGTAGGGTCTCTAACCTTGTTGAGGAAGATGGCGCGTCGGTTGAAGATGTGGATCTGGTGCCCACGTCGCGCTGCTTCGTGGTGTGTTGCGATAGCTTGTGCTGCGATCTTTGGGAAGTAGGTGCGCCGCGTTGCCTGTGTATTTGGTGTCAGCTGTCGCCGCGGAATATATTGTGTCCTTTGTTTGGTGTTGATGTCCTCGTCTGTTGGGTAAATGATAGGTATTTTGAGTGCAGGTGGTGGTGGATGTACTGGTATGAATGGGCGTGATGGTGGCCATTTGATCATGATGGTGGACGTGGGTGAAGACGTCTTTGGTGATGATGTTGCGCTGTTGGTTTTGGGGGTGGTCGGTGGCTGTTGTGCTGTTTGGTTGGCTTGTTCGATCAGGTGCGATGGTGGTGGTCTGTAGGGTCTCCGGTGAGTCGCACTCGTTATTGTGTTGTTTGGTGCTGATGTGTATGCTCGGTGTGGGTTTGCTTGGGACCCTTTGTTGTTGCGGTGTGTGTGGGAGTGCGTGGTGATCTGCTTTGATGTCACTGGTGGTGTCGGTCCATTGGGTTTGTTGGGCTGTTGCGCGGGTTGGAGCTCTGCTGCGTCGTTGTGGGTGGCGTCGGTTGTTTGGGTCGGGCTCGTTGTGGTGTTGCGTGCTCTCCGTGATGGCTGTAGCGTGGGCGCGAATGGTTTGGGCTCGCTGGGTTGTGATTGTGGGGGTGGTGGTTTGGTTGGAATTTGCTGCGTCTGTTGTAGGGTGTTGGCGTTGGTCGCCCTGTCGGTGGCGCTGTCGCTGTCGTTGCATTCGTTGGTGGCGTGCCTCCTTGGGTCAGTCGGATCACAGACGCGTTGCAGCAGGCGGTCTGCGTCGCGTATTCGCACTGCCCAATCGCATGTCATGATGTCGCGCTCGTCGTGGCATGCGTTGGACCACTGGGCATCTCCTTGTGCGGTGGCGGTCTTGACTTTGTCGAGCGGTGCATGTCCTCCTGCGATCAGCTCGATTAGATGAGCGTAGGTCGCGGCGACTTGTAGTCTTGTCGCTGCAATTTGTCGCGAACGCTTGCAGGTCGTTGCCGTATCTTGTGGAGGTAGGGCGATTGGGCGGCTTATGCATTGGCTGGCGTGGGTGTGTTTGAACGGCTTCTTTCAGCGTGAGTATTATTGTTCTTGTTGCCACTGGTAATGTGAAGGTCGATCGCGGCGTGGCATGGGAGTCGGGTATGCGCGGCGGGCGCGGTAGGCATTGCTTGCCGTCTTCGTGGGCGAAAATTTGGTCGGTGTACTTGTTGAGGCATCTGTGCCAAACAGGCAACAGTAGGTCGTCGTTCGGGAATATGGAGGTGCATGTGTCGGTCGCGTCGCGGTCGTATTTTGCCTGGTGCATTAAGAGCATGATTGGCCTTATTCGTCTGCGTTGTTGGCGCAGTGGCAGTAGGCAGTCCAGCCGCTTGGAAGGCGCATGTCGCGGTAGTTGTTAGGTTTGAGAGGTGAGAGGCAAATTTCGTTGAAGTCGGGTGTTCTGTTCATCTTGGCCCATGGGTCGTGCTTGTCGTCGTTGTCTTCAGATTCGGTAGTGTCGTAGCACAGGTCGGGGTAGTCTTGTCGATGGTATGTCAGTTCTTCTTGGTTGGTCTGGGTCGGTGGTGCCTGCATCTGCGTTGGCTCCTGTGGGATGTAGTCGTTGCTTGTGTCGCACCTTATTATGTCATACATGGCTTTCTTTTTCTTGGAAGGGATACGTGGGATAGTCTGCTCTGGTGGTGACATCCTCATTTGGCCGTTGCACTTATGGTGCCCTTTTTTCCAGGTGGTCGAATTGGCGTTTTTTGATGTCGCGTCGTCCTGCGAGCTGTTGCTGTGCAAATTCGTAGCGCTCGTCGTCAGGAGGTAAATCGCCACGAAATCGGAGCCCGTCTCTTGGCTGCATGCACTCGGGAGGTTCGCGCGTGACGCGGGGCCCTTGAGGGCGCGATAGGACGCTGGAGGGTTCGGTCGCGATGCATGTCGGGTTGCTGTCGTCAT